TTCTGCATCATTCAGCAACGTCAAATGTTTTTTTTCCTAGAGACAAGCAACAGAGAACAGTCTGCCCGGACATCCCGTCTGTACTCACGGAGGCTTGTGGCGGTGACTGGGTCTTGGAGCCGGTGGTGATGGTGGTGGTGCTGGTGATGGCGGTGATGGTAGACGATCTGAAAAACAGTCAGTATGTTTTTAGATCAGCGTGTTACAAACTGTAAGAGCAAGAAGTAACACAAACAGAGGAATTTGGTCAAAATTAGGACGATTGGAAAAAGGTTTTGAGTTTTACATGTCCATTGTCATTTTATGATTCGACACTTACGGACATGCTGGTGGCGGGTTTGATCCCGGAGCCGGTGGTGCTGGTAATGGTGATGGTGATGGTGATGGTCATGCTGGGGACGGTGGTGATGGTGGATCTGAAATAGAAGGCGCTAGTTATTAATGTCGTCTTTGATGTTTATATCTTAGATACAACGCTAAAGAAGCAGAATTACAATCACAAATATTTTGAGTTAGCAGAAAAATTGTAAAAATAACATCATACATTGTCTTATAGTAGCTGTATTATCATTTACGGTAACTCTAAGTCAACGGCAGTTCACTTGATCTTGGTTTCGGAAGCCATGAAGCTGGACTCGACTGCCGTTGGTGTACTCACGCCTGCCGGTGGTGCCGGTGGTGCTGTCACTGCTGGTGATGGTGACGTGTGTGGTGATCTGAAACACCAGTGTCCAGTTTTAGGTCCCCTGATATTGACAGCCACACCCGCCGTGTCGCTACCGCTATCCCACACCGGGTCTGACAGTGGTGTGACGTCACTCCCACACCCGCCGTGTCGCTACCGCTATCCCACACCGGGTCTGACAGTGGTGTGGCGTCACTCCCACACCCGCCGTGTCGCTACCGCTGTCCCACACCGGGTCTGACAGTGGTGTGACGTCACTCCCACACCCGCCGTGTCGCTACCGCTGTCCCACACCGGGTCTGACAGTGGTGTGACGTCACTCCCACACCCGCCGTGTCGCTACCGCTATCCCACACCGGGTCTGACAGTGGTGTGACGTCACTCCCACACCCGCCGTGTCGCTACCGCTATCCCTCACCGGGTCTGACAGTGGTGTGACGTCACTCCCACACCCGCCGTGTCGCTACCGCTATCCCACACCGGGTCTGGCAGTGGTGTGACGTCACTCCCACACCCGCCGTGTCGCTACCGCTATCCCACACCGGGTCTGACAGTGGTGTGACGTCACTCCCACACCCGCCGTGTCGCTACCGCTATCCCACACCGGGTCTGACAGTGGTGTGACGTCACTCCCACACCCGCCGAGTCGCTACCGCTATCCCACACCGGGTCTGACAGTGGTGTGACGTCACTCCCACACCCGCCGTGTCGCTACTGCTATCCCACACCGTGCCTGACAGTTGTATGACGTCACTCCCACACCCGCCGTGTCGCTACCGCTATCCCACACCGGGTCTGACAGTGGTGTGACGTCACTCCCACACCCGCCGTGTCGCTCTCGCTACCGCTATCCCACACCGGGTCTGGCAGTGGTGTGACGTCACTCCCACACCCGCCGTGTCGCTACCGCTATCCCACACCGGGTCTGACAGTGGTGTGACGTCACTCCCACACCTGCTGAGTCGCTACCGCTATCCCTCACCGGGTCTGACAGAGGTGTGACGTCACTCCCACACCCGCCGTGTCGCTACCGCTATCCCACACCGGGTCTGACAGTGGTGTGACGTCACTCCCACACCCGCCGTGTCGCTACCGCTATCCCACACCGGGTCTGACAGAGGTGTGACGTCACTCCCACACCCGCCGTGTCGCTACCGCTATCCCACACCGGGTCTGACAGTGGTGTGACGTCACTCCCGCACCCGCCGTGTCGCGCTACCGCTATCCCACACCGGGTCTGACAGTGGTGTGACGTCACTCCCACACCCGCCGTGTCGCTACCGCTATCCCACACCGGGTCTGACAGTGGTGTGACGTCACTCCCACACCCGCCGTGTCGCTACCGCTATCCCACACCGGGTCTGACAGAGGTGTGACGTCACTCCCACACCCGCCGTGTCGCTACCGCTATCCCACACCGGGTCTGACAGTGGTGTGACGTCACTCCCACACCCGCCGTGTCGCTACCGCTATCCCACACCGGGTCTGACAGTGGTGTGACGTCACTCCCACACCTGCTGAGTCGCTACCGCTATCCCTCACCGGGTCTGACAGAGGTGTGACGTCACTCCCACACCCGCCGTGTCGCTACCGCTATCCCACACCGGGTCTGACAGTGGTGTGACGTCACTCCCACACCCGCCGTGTCGCTACCGCTATCCCACACCGGGTCTGACAGTGGTGTGACGTCACTCCCACACCCGCCGTGTCGCTACCGCTATCCCACACCGGGTCTGACAGTGGTGTGACGTCACTCCCACACCCGCCGTGTCGCTACTGCTATCCCACACCGTGCCTGACAGTTGTATGACGTCACTCCCACACCCGCCGTGTCGCTACCGCTATCCCACACCGGGTCTGACAGTGGTGTGACGTCACTCCCACACCCGCCGTGTCGCTACCGCTATCCCACACCGGGTCTGGCAGTGGTGTGACGTCACTCCCACACCCGCCGTGTCGCTACCGCTATCCCACACCGGGTCTGACAGTGGTGTGACGTCACTCCCACACCCGCCGTGTCGCTACCGCTATCCCACACCGGGTCTGACAGTGGTGTGACGTCACTCCCACACCCGCCGTGTCGCTACCGCTATCCCTCACCGGGTCTGACAGAGGTGTGACGTCACTCCCACACCCGCCGTGTCGCTACCGCTATCCCACACCGGGTCTGACAGTGGTGTGACGTCACTCCCACACCCGCCGTGTCGCTACCGCTATCCCACACCGGGTCTGGCAGTGGTGTGACGTCACTCCCACACCCGCCGTGTCGCTACCGCTATCCCACACCGGGTCTGACAGTGGTGTGACGTCACTCCCACACCCGCCGTGTCGCTACCGCTATCCCACACCGGGTCTGACAGTGGTGTGACGTCACTCCCACACCCGCCGAGTCGCTACCGCTATCCCACACCGGGTCTGACAGTGGTGTGACGTCACTCCCACACCCGCCGTGTCGCTACTGCTATCCCACACCGTGCCTGACAGTTGTATGACGTCACTCCCACACCCGCCGTGTCGCTACCGCTATCCCACACCGGGTCTGACAGTGGTGTGACGTCACTCCCACACCCGCCGTGTCGCTACCGCTATCCCACACCGGGTCTGGCAGTGGTGTGACGTCACTCCCACACCCGCCGTGTCGCTACCGCTATCCCACACCGGGTCTGACAGTGGTGTGACGTCACTCCCACACCTGCTGAGTCGCTACCGCTATCCCTCACCGGGTCTGACAGAGGTGTGACGTCACTCCCACACCCGCCGTGTCGCTACCGCTATCCCACACCGGGTCTGACAGTGGTGTGACGTCACTCCCACACCCGCCGTGTCGCTACCGCTATCCCACACCGGGTCTGACAGAGGTGTGACGTCACTCCCACACCCGCCGTGTCGCTACCGCTATCCCACACCGGGTCTGACAGTGGTGTGACGTCACTCCCGCACCCGCCGTGTCGCGCTACCGCTATCCCACACCGGGTCTGACAGTGGTGTGACGTCACTCCCACACCCGCCGTGTCGCTACCGCTATCCCACACCGGGTCTGACAGTGGTGTGACGTCACTCCCACACCCGCCGTGTCGCTACCGCTATCCCACACCGGGTCTGACAGAGGTGTGACGTCACTCCCACACCCGCCGTGTCGCTACCGCTATCCCACACCGGGTCTGACAGTGGTGTGACGTCACTCCCACACCCGCCGTGTCGCTACCGCTATCCCACACCGGGTCTGACAGTGGTGTGACGTCACTCCCACACCTGCTGAGTCGCTACCGCTATCCCTCACCGGGTCTGACAGAGGTGTGACGTCACTCCCACACCCGCCGTGTCGCTACCGCTATCCCACACCGGGTCTGACAGTGGTGTGACGTCACTCCCACACCCGCCGTGTCGCTACCGCTATCCCACACCGGGTCTGACAGTGGTGTGACGTCACTCCCACACCCGCCGTGTCGCTACCGCTATCCCACACCGGGTCTGACAGTGGTGTGACGTCACTCCCACACCCGCCGTGTCGCTACTGCTATCCCACACCGTGCCTGACAGTTGTATGACGTCACTCCCACACCCGCCGTGTCGCTACCGCTATCCCACACCGGGTCTGACAGTGGTGTGACGTCACTCCCACACCCGCCGTGTCGCTACCGCTATCCCTCACCGGGTCTGACAGTGGTGTGACGTCACTCCCACACCTGCTGAGTCGCTACCGCTATCCCTCACCGGGTCTGACAGAGGTGTGACGTCACTCCCACACCCGCCGTGTCGCTACCGCTATCCCACACCGGGTCTGACAGTGGTGTGACGTCACTCCCACACCCGCCGTGTCGCTACCGCTATCCCACACCGGGTCTGACAGAGGTGTGACGTCACTCCCACACCCGCCGTGTCGCTACCGCTATCCCACACCGGGTCTGGCAGTGGTGTGACGTCACTCCCACACCCGCCGTGTCGCTACCGCTATCCCACACCGGGTCTGACAGTGGTGTGACGTCACTCCCACACCCGAACTGCTGGTCCGACTGAGTAAACAGGCAGGTCCAGACCGGCCATTCAGTACCGCTCTACCCGCCACTGAGGCTGACCAACTAATAACACGTCATTTACCGCATACCGTATGTTTCAGAGCCTATACTCACGGGGCGGTCAGTGTCCATGGCGCCGCTCAGTGACTGACCAACTAATAACACGTCATTTACCGCATACCGTTTGTTTCAGAGCCTATACTCACGGGGCGGTCAGTGTTCATGGCGCCGCTCAGTGACTGACCAACTAATAACACGTCATTTACCGCATACCGTTTGTTTCAGAGCCTATACTCACGGCGGTCAGTGTCCATGGTGCCTCCCCTGGCCGTGCCGCCGGCGGCTGAGGCGCCGCTCCAGATCCTTCCTCTCCTGGCGGTGTCGGCTCTCCTGCTCCTCCAGCTCCTGGCGGTGTCGTTCACTGAGCTGGAGCTGCTGTCGGCGGTGTCTTTCGCTCGCCTCGAACAGCCTCTGACTGAGACGCCGGTCTTGCCGCTCCTCGTCAGATTCTGCAGCAGATCAGGGCCAATACAATTCACGTCGTTGAACAAGCTGGCCAGAGAAGGACAGAAAGAATATGAGTTCTTGGATCGATGGGAGAGAAGAAAATAAATAAAATTTCGTATCGAACAGAGTCAGGGACACCTCTTAGGGCAAAGGGACAGAGAGAAAATAGAGGGACAAAGCGATTCTGATACAGATCAAACGGAGGTAGAAATCTTTAAAGATAAATTAATTACATTGGGCTCTCGTAAGGATAACATGTGTATTTATTTTGTGAATGTAAGAAAATGAGGACTCAGTATATAAGAAAAATTAGCTCAATTCGGCCAGCTTTCAAAAAGTATTTACAAAACATTGTGAGGGTGTCTTAATAAGGTTCGGGTCAAACAAATCACGTTTTCTTTCCCACGTAAATAGCGTGGGTGCTCAGAAACATTTTGACGTCTGACTGTTTCAATGTAAATTCGACTTCACCATCTGAGTTCTAAGCCTGCCGCTCACCATCCTCGTTGGGGTGTCTCTGTTCCAGCTCTCGTGGCTCTCTCTGGCGTCTCTGTTCCAGCTCTCGTGGCTCTCTCTGGCGTCTCTGTTCCAGCTCTCGTAACTCTCTCTGGCGTCTCTGTTCCAGCTCTCGTGGCTCTCTCTGGCGTCTCTGTTCCAGCTCTCGTGGCTCTCTCTGGCGTCTCTGTTCCAGCTCTCGTGGCTCTCTCTGGCGTCTCTGTTCCAGCTCTCGTGGCTCTCTCTGGTGTCTCTGTTCCAGCTCTCGTGGCTCTCTCTGGCGTCTCTGTTCCAGCTCTCGTGGCTCTCTCTGGCGTCTCTGTTCCAGCTCTCGTGGCTCTCTCTGGCGTCTCTGTTCCAGCTCTCGTAACTCTCTCTGGTGTCTGAGCTCCAGCTCTCGACACTGCTGTTGCAGGGTCTGTAGGAGTTCTTCCCACTGCTTCTGGTGGGAGCGATCCAACTGCCTTAACTGGTCCTCAGACGGCATGTTGATGCATCTGGTGTCCCCCCTGTGCTGCTGATGAAGCTCAATGCGCTCCTCATAGTGACGTTCGTCCAGCTCCTGCCACTCCTTGCCGTGCTCCTGCTCCTGCTGCCGACGCTCCTCTGCGTGTTTCTTGTTCAGACCGCTGCGACTGTGTGCGGCACCTCTCGGTTTCAGCTCCTGACATCGCCCTTGGTTTGGGCGAGGAGGACCATCTGATGGCCGCTCCTCCTCATCGCAGTGCTGCTTCTCGTCTTCGATCTCTCCGTCGCGGTCACCCTGTGGCGAGTCTGGAACACAGCAGGTCAGGCAGAAGTCATATGCTGGGAGGACGGTCGATAGGCGACCAAATCGAAATAAAACTGGATCACTATTCATAGTACAATGTAAAAGACCTTGTGTTATGGCATGCCATTTATCAGCATGGGCAACAGAGTTGCAAAATCTAGTTACTTCGCTCAACATTTTTTTTATGCATTTGTTTTTACGATTCGTTACGATTTGCTCAAAAAGTGATTTTTCATTTTTACGATTTATTCAAATAATGAACACTGCATCGTGCCTCACGGTGATAATGTAACAAATAAGACACTGACTCGCGGTACTGTACATGACTAGAACTGTTCAGTATCAGCGTCATTACTATCGCCATCTAGCCCATGATGTTTGATAAGAACACAGGACGGCAGTCGGTGGACACTGGACAGGGTACCTACTTAGAGTGGTCGGGGTTAGTTTTTTAACCTTCGCCCCAGTGGGGGGGGGGGGGGCATATGTTACCACCCTGTCGCGTTTTTTGCGTGTAAATAAAAAAAAAAACACGGGGCGTAGCGCCGCGCCGCTTGGGGTAGCTTTTGGTACATCAATTTTGGACAATGTGTGAAATTTTTGACCCCAGGTCATGTCAGGTCAGGTCACCAGGTCAAGTTAACTGACCAAGCCTAAAAAAAAGTTTGCGATCATGTCCAGCCTGCAGTGTTTATCAGAAAGGTTTCAAACTTGGTGGATTGCATGATGTTATAGACGCCTACAATTTGTATATCTCGGATTTTTTATATCTGTGACCTAAGGTCAGGTCAGTGTCGTGACCTTACCATTATAAGGCAATGGAGGAAAATGAAAATGTCTCTAGATCCGTGTGTACGCATAGGAACAGTCCAAATATTTCAGAATCACAATGATTTGGACCACCCGTGATGACCAAGGTGTCATTTTTGCTGATAGCCTCTAGAAAGGTCATCCGAGGTCATTTGAGGCTACAAACAGATTTTTGCCAATAACTCTCGATTGGAAAGAGATAGAACGCTGGGGATGGCCTCATTGTGTTTGTCTTGCCGAGACGCATCGATTGATATGCAACATGACCTTTTCCGGTCAGGTCATGACCTTGACCTGAGGTCAAATTTTCAAGTTGACCTTTCAAGGTCAAATTTTAGTTCATTCGACGCGTCTCGGCGAGAGGAACACGATTCTGGCAATAGAAATGTCGTGGTTTTTTTTAGTCGAAAGTTATTGTCGAAAAACACTTTTCGTAAAAACAGCTATTTTTGGAGTTTTTGCCCTCTGGAGGCTAAACCGTTGACCTGAGGTCAATTTTGATGATGACTTTTTCATAAGAAGAGTTAAAAAGCTATCGGTTGCTTTTCCATTCGTTTTTCTAGCTATCATAGTTCCTGAGATAAATGCATGTTTTCTGAGAAATATAATGACATTTGGCAAATTTTGACCTTTGATGACCTCCAGTGACCCCAATATTGTTCTAAGATGAAAATGACCCAGTACTTTCAAACGTACGCATTGAGAGCTATCGACTGCTTTTTACCGCGTCTTCCTAGCCCTCTTAGTTTTTGAGTTAGAGGTGGGTGGTAACATATGCCCCCCCCCCCCACTAGGGCGAAGTTGGCTGAGACCGCCACTGGGGCGGGGGTTAACCCTCGCCCACGCATGCCATTTTTCCACCGTAGAGCGCACATGGAGGGGATGCTATACCCCCGCGCCATTTCGTTCCTGCTGGAGATAGAGCTCCGCGGTAAAAACCAACAGATTTCTTTGGAAGAGACAAATCCAATGGTATCCAATTTTACCTCAATGTGTAGTCATTGACGTTTCAGGTCAGGTCAAACTAAAAAATGTTGCTGTATGGGGTCACCGTTGGATCACGTGCAAAGCAGTGCCCATCATATACCGATGATGCTGCAGTATTGGTGCCAAGCCAGCTAGAACAGCTCTTTGTCACACTATCCGACTAAGTTTTTGCTGACTGGGGTCATTTCAGGTCAGGTTAGGTCAGGGTCAATGTTTTGTGTTTGTATTTCTGTGTTTGTGTCTGTGTATAGTGATGTGTGCACCGATTGGTTTGTGTGTCCCTGTTACATGAGATCATGAATTGAGAAGCTTTTACCAAAAATGCAGTCAAAGAAACTTAACGAAAAGTAAATTCAGCTTGCCTAAAACGCAGTGTTTAAGATGACCTAGGTTCACCTTGAACCTGACCCTGACATCTTTACATCGTTTCATTGACCTTTGGTGACCTCGGTTCACTTTTCAAATTTTACATGCCTCAAGGCCAGTTTTTGGAGCTGAATTCGAATTTAGCAACCATATGAAGATTTACGAAGTAGTTTTGGTGCCTTCGTTACATGTTATGAAGCTGTCAGAGGCGGTTGACACCTACAACGAATACCCGGCAGAACCCCTACTGATTGACCTGACCTGACCTGACCTGACCTGACCTGACCCGACCAGGCCTAAATGCATGAAGACATTATCTTTGATTAAAAAACTAACAGGATATTCGTGATCAGCACCCCGAATAACCCAGAGTAGCCACATTTTACGAAGTTCTAACAGGTCCCGATTTCCCCGACTTTTGGGTCATTGACCTGACCTGGAAGGTCAAACAATGACCTAGGACCTTTAAGTTGGGTATGATCGGCTTCCTCTCGTCACATGCAATACGCTCGTTTTTCCGCGACGCTCTAGCTTGATCAGGGGCGAAACGGCAAGGGTTGGGTCCAACGGACCTCCCCCCTTTTACGTTCGCGGCTGGAAAAACACCAATACGGGCGAGGGTTAACACGCGCAGTGGAAGGGGGGGCGGATTTCGCCCACCCCTCCTGTTTTTCGCCAATAACTCGCGCCGCAAGCAGAATATCAATGTGAAATTTCGGCTACCTGTCCAGAATTGAATTGCGGATCTTCTCGTGCAAGACGTAAGAAAATCGGTTCACAACTTTTCTAGTAATAGCGGTGTAAAGTCAAACATCCTGCCGCCGCGGCGGCGCGGCGGCGCGGCGGCCGGCGCTAGCCGTTACGCGCCGCCTGAATTGTAGACTGTGCCGGGGCGGGACGGTTCCGTCTTTACATCGCGCTCCTTACCGCTGATTATATTAGATTCGCGTCAAATTCGGTGAGAAGACTGAGAAATGTACAGGCAATCATATGGTCAAAGAATTTTGAAAATCGGCCGGTAACAACTTGAGTTATGAGTGTGTAAACACAAAATTGTGATTGCCGCGTTTCCCGCGTCGGCCGATGCCGCTTCAGCCGGCGATATCTTACCCTTAGCAGGCTTCTAACTGCCATATTTATTGTTGGATTATCTAGAAAGTCACCATACTTACTCACAAATGTTTGTTCTTTCGTATAGTGAAAGATTTAAAAAAATCGGCCGGTAACTTTTTGAGTTATCGGCGTGTAAACGCAAAAAAGTCGCTAATATGGCAGATTTGACCACATTTGACCTCATTTGACCTTGAAGATATTGACCTAGGGTCATGAAATTCACACACAACAGAGTTCCCCATGGCCCCCACCTACCCTCCAAATTTCGTCTTTCTAGCTCCAGTGGGAGCTGAGATCTTAGGGGGGGGCGACATCCGCCCCCCCCCTTCCACTGGGCGTAGTACTCGCAACCCTTCCACTGCGCGTGTTAAACGGTGAATGAAATTTGGTCACAAGGTAGTTCTCCGCTGGGGCTACGACCTACAGGGCCGTCATGTCATTGGAGAGCACTACCATGCTCCGCTTTGCGAGTAGTCAGGGCACTTTTAATGAGTGATATCGACTGATGTCAGCCAGCACTCTTTGCTACTTACTTTCTGTGATCGCGTCTGGTGTATGTGTATGTATGCTGGGAGGGGATTGTATGTGTGTAGGGGGACGGCAGTGCGGGTTGAATGCCTGAGGGGGTGGGATGGGAAATTAGATTTTATTGCGACTGCAGCCTAACCCTCGCGGGCCCGGGGGGGGGGCGTTTTTCGCCCCCCCCCCTGGCGAATATTTGCGATAGCTCCCGAACGCTTAGGGATAGGAAAGCGAAACTTTCAGTACCTTTTGTCCCATCAATTTGACATCTTCTGAAGTAAAAAAATTGGACCTAGCCCCCTTGATGACGTCACAAGGTCCATTTTTCTAGACCCCTGCACGGCAAACTTCGGCGTCACAGACGCAAACTTCAAATAGCTGCTAAAAATAGAGTTTTAGAGATAAAGACAAATTACGAGTACGGTTGTGTAGCGTTTGACCTAGAGAAAAATAGAAAAATAGTTTTGGTGACCTGAGGTCAGAGGTCAGGTCAACGACCCCGAATGTGGTTTTAGTTTTTCGCAAATAACTTCGACAAAAATGGTCCTAGAGCTACGGCAGTGGTACCATCGCATTCACCTTGTCAAGCCGCGTCGAATGATATATATTTTGTTCGGAAAAGGTCAAGTTTTATGTTGACCTCATGTGACCTCGAATGACCTCTGGTTGACCTTGACGCATGAAAGGTCGTTTATGATGGATTTGTACCCGCTGATCACGAATCTGGCATCTATTTTCCCCTAAGCCTTCATTTAGAGCTTCCGGATGGCAAAATTGTCTTATTTATTATTACTAACTTGAATTAGTGAAAAAGCCTCTAGCAGGGATACTCTTCAGTGACCTTGACCTTTGAGCAGCCTTGTATCGTAAGAGGAACCACAAATAGGGAACTGATAAGCCTCAAAACATTTTAAAACATCTTGAAAGTTAGCATGCAAGATGTGCGAAAAAGTGCCAAGTTTGAGGTCAATTTTGAGCGTGACCTTGACCTTGACCTTTAATTTTGAGCACATTTTCGGAATCCTCTACGATGGCATTGTCTCAGATTCTCTTCTTTCGTTTTACACCCAATTTTGCTGGTTTGATGCCGCCTGCCGTCCTCTAGAAGGCTTACTTTGAGATCACTACACATGTGCCGGTTTTTGCCTTTGACCTTGACCTCTGACCTTGAAAATTGACCTGAGGTCAAAAATTTTAGGTGCTTTAGAATCGTCTCGTAAGGACCTTTCGTTTGGTATCGCTTTTGTTTCCGTAGCTCCCTTATTTACGGAGTTAGGCAGGGGGGCGAAAAACGCCCCCCCCGGGCTGCGGTGGTTGGGATTACCCCCCGGGCCCGGCCGGGTTAATGTGGGCCTCGGCCTGTGGTTGTTATGAAATAAATAAACAAATAAACAAATAAGCTATCGAATGTCGTTTGAAATTCGAAAATCGGTCGGTAACTTTCCGAGATCTTTGGGAGGGGGTGTGGGGCACGGGTGGCAGGGTCGGTTGACGGCCATACGGGGGTCGGGTTAACCCCACTCAAGCTCACCATATAACAAAAAACAGGCATTTTTGTGGGTGGATAGTGAATCAACGAAAAGGGAAGTCCCCCCCCCCCCCCCAGGCCAATGCGACATGCGAACTGTGAACTGTGCATCCTTCACAATCTTGGATCCCGGTATGGCGGGAAACTCGGCCAATTGGAATGCCCAGATTGGCTGTCATGGCAACGGTTGCCTGGCAACGGCTTGTATCGGGGAGCGGAGGGAGGGAGCAGATGGAAATGCCGGCGAAAACGGATTCTTGTGTGTTCATGTGGCATCAGCTCTAAATAGGTATGAGAAGATGTGAACGTGATTGAGAGCGAAGATCAGAAAGACGGCCTTCAGGAATTTGGGACACAACTCGGTCACGATACCTACGACATACGTAAACAGTAAAGTAAATACTCGAAAATATTATAGGTATAGCTTCATTCATCCCTAGTAATAATAATAAATTAGGTATAGGTGTAAGTTTCATGGAATATGAGTGACACAATTGTTCTTATCTTAATGTGTTATTGCATTTTGTGTTATTTTTTTATTTTTCGCCTTAGATTCTGTTGCCATAGTGACCGCTTGTGCAAGTAGGTACTTTTTATTACAAAAAAGCAAGACTTATATTTCGTCATGACAGAGGGTAAGCTATCTACATAGGCGTGGAAACCCGCGCAGTGTGGGGGGGCAGTGGGGCAGCTTGCCCCCACAATTCTGGGGGCGTGGGGGCGGTGCCGCGGTGCCCCCACAACTTTGAGACGGAATATCGCACTTTGTATGCAAATGTGTTCTTTTTTTGTTGAAAGGGTCAAGGGATGAGAAATAAGAAGCCAAAAAAACGATGAGAAAACTAGATTTCGGGGCACCCTAGGTTGACCTCTATTAACCCGCGCCCCGCTGGGCTATTCAGCCATACGCGCCCTGCTGGGGGGGGGGGCAGATTCTGCCCCCCTGTCTAACTTCCGAACCGATGGTCGTAGAAAGACGGGGAAAACGGCAATCGAAAGCTCTCAACAAGGCGGATCTTAAGAGCCCAAATTTTTTTGCTTAAGTAGGTCAGAGGTCAGGTCAAGGTCAGGTCAAGGGTACAAAATGCAAGTTTCTACAGTATCGGCCTTGCACCGTAGTAGCCGAAGAATGGACTGAGACTGATTGCCCAAAACGTGTTCTTAGACTACCAAGACAATATTCGTTGCACACAATGTCATTCAAAGGTCAAGGTCAAGGTCAGGTCAGGTCAGGTCAGGTCACCAAAAACAAAATATAGAAAAGGGCATGTGCGACACATGTTTTATGGGTCATTTTACTCATGGAATTCAATAGGCACACTCAATAAGTGATATGGACCACCTCTGGATGAATTTCAGGTCGAGGTCAGGTCAAGGTCAGGTCAAGTGAGGTCAAATTTTGAAGTTGGTTGTTAAGGCCTAAAAAGGTGTCTATCCGATGCAGTTTTTCACGGCGAATCGAATGGTGCTATTTTTATTTCCGTGCGAGGTCTAGAACTTCCAAAAAAATCATTTTTCAAAATTTTTGTGTGTCGTGTCGTCATAAAATTTTGAATAACTCCCACATTTTTGAACCGATTCTTCTAAAAATTGGTATGTAGGTGCACATAGACCACTTCTTTGACATATATTCCGTTTTTTTTCGATAAACTCAGAATTTTGGATTTTATAAATATTTTCCAAAAAAAAGTCAGTTTTTTGGAAAAATTTTGGCCAAAATCCAAAATTTTCAAAAAACCGAGATAGCCATTTGATAGACAAAGTAGAATCACGTATAACTTTTTTGTTACGTCTTGATTCCTTTAAAAATGAAGAAGTTAGCGGCGTTTGAAATTTTGCCATTTTTTAGGCGAAAATGGCGAACATGACGTCACTAAAACGTCAATTTCTCAAAAATTTTCCGACGGATTTCGCTCAAATTTTCAGGGAACGTGTCAAATTGATGTATGATAAGGTACTGAAAGTTTGACGTCGCTGGCGTAACGTGTTTAGAAGTTTTTTGCGAAAAACGGGAGGGGGGGCAGATTCTGCCCCCCCCAGCGGGGCGCGGGTTAACCCGCGCCCCGTTGGGGGGGGGCATTTTGGCCCCCCCTGTTATTTTTCCTGAATAGCAAGAAAACGGCGGCGCGCAGTGCCGCTAAATTTTTAGTACCTTCCCGGGCATCAATTTAACACCTTCACACCAAATTTCAAGTCTTAGGTCACCTTAGGTCAGGAGTTATTGAGGTTAAACTGAGGTCATGTTCGAGCAAAAATGAGCAAAAAACATCCAATCTTGAAACGCTCACTTAACCTTCGCCCCAGTGGGGGGGGGGCATATGTTACCACCCTGTCGCGTTTTTCGCGTGTGAATAAAAAACCGCGGCGCGTAGCGCCGCGCCGCTTGGGGTAGCTTTTGGTACATCAATTTTGGAAAATGTGTGAAATTTTTGACTCCAGGTCATGTCAGGTCAGGTCACCAGGTCAAGTTAACTGACCAAGCCTTAAAAAAAGTTTGCAATCATGTCCAGCCTGCAGTGTTTGTCAGAAAGGTTTTAAACTTGGTGGATTGCATGCTGTTATGGGAGCCTACAATTTGTATATCTCGGATTTTTTATATCCGTGACCCAAGGTCAGGTCAGTGGCATGACCTTTCCATTACAAGTCAATGGAGAAAAATGAAAATGCCTCTAGATCCGTGTGTACGCATAGGAACAGTCCAAATATTTCAGAATCACAATGATTTAGTCCACTCGTGATGACCAAGGTGTCATTTTTGCTGATAGCCTCTAGAAAGGTCATCCGAGGTCATTTGAGGCTACAAACAGTTTTTTGCCAATAACTCGCGATTGGAAAGAGATATAACGCTGGGGATGGTCTCATTGTGTTTGTCTTGTTGAGACGCATCGACTGATATGCAACATGACCTTTTCCGGTCAGGTCATGACCTTGACCAGAGGTCAAATTTTTAAGTTGACCTTTCAAGGTCAAATTATAGTTCATTCGACGCGTCACGGTGAGGGGAACACGATTCTGGCGATAGAAATGTCGTGGCTTTTTGTAGTCGAAAGTTATTGTCGAAAAACACTTTTCGTAAAAACAGCTATTTTTGGAGTTTTTGCCCTCTGGAGGCTAAACCGTTTACCTGACGACAATATTGATAATGACCTTTTCAAAAGAAAAGTTCAAAATCTATCGATTGCTTTTCCATGCGTTTTTCTAGCTACCATAGTTCCTGAGATAGCGGCATGTTTTCTGAAAAATATAATGACAATTGGCAAATTTTGACCTTTGATGACCTCTGGTGACCCCAATATTGCTCTAAGGTGAAAAATGACCGAAATACATTCAAACGTACGTATTGAGAGCTATCGACTGCTTTTTACCGCGTCTTTCTAGCCCTCTTAGTTTTTAAGTTAGAGGTGGGTGGTAACATATGCCCCCCCTCACTAGGGCGAAGTTGGCCGAGACCGCCACTGGGGCGCGGGTTAATCTACAGTTATCAAGCAATTTCAAAGTTCTTTATATGGTCTAGTAGAGAAAAAGCGGCGCTACAAAACTGCTATCTCTGATTTTCAAAATTTTGGGTTTTTGACCAAAAAGAAATTCAAATTAAAAAAAAATGAAAAAAATCAAAAAAAATCCGAATTTCGAAAACACCGGAATATATGTGATAGTCCCTGCGCTCTTCTATATACATACCAAATTTCAGATCGATATCTCGTTTTTTGGCCAAGTTATAGCGAAAAAACTGTTAACCCTCGCCCTGGCAGGGCATTTTTCATAACACGGCCTGGCAGGGGGGGGGGTCGATGCGACCCCCCCCCCTCGCGATTGGCTCCTATGGCACCTAGAAACACCAAATTTGGTAGGTAGGTGGGCCCTCTGGAGTTCTCGGCCCTGTGCAAATTTGGTTGCTCTAGGTCAATATTTAGGGGGGTTTTGGGGGGGTATAAATGCAAAAATTTCGCTAAAAACAGGTCAAAAGTTTTTCGCTTATAACTTTTGATCTAATTAAGATAGAGCAAAAAGAAAAGCACCAGTGAACTCAGCACGTCAAGGCGCGTCGAATGATATACTTTATAGCTTGCTTAAGTGTACTTAAAGTTTTTCTTAAATTTTAAGTAAACTTAAATTAATAAATTAAGTTAAAGTTAACCAAATTGCATCATATCGCATATTATTCGATTCGGCTGATCACCAGGAACACAATGATACCATTTTTTAAGCTCTAGCGTCATTATGTGTCAAGTTATTGGCAAAAACGTCATTTTTCCTCAGTTGACCTCATTTGACCTGACCCATGGATAAGTACACCAAACAAAGAAACACCAAGTGACCTGCTGTTCAGTACTGTGGTTTCAAAGCACAAAAGTGATAGAACAAAGCGGATATCTCCAGTATTTTCCGAATTTAGTATTTTCCCATAGGCTTAACATTACGACGTAATGACCTCTAACTGACCTCAGGTCAGTGACCTCAAAAAACCCGAACTATATGCTATACAACTCGGTGAACTTAGCACATCCTGAAAGTTTGAAGGAAATCAGTGCAAAACTGTGAGTTGGACAGGTGCAAAAAGAAAATTGAAATTTGACCATGACCTTGTACCGGTTTTTCTGACCTGGTGACCTGACCCAAGGTCACCCGGACCTGAAATTTTCAGGTCATATGTAAAAAGGTTGCCCCATAGGCTGTGCCAAATTTGGCGGCGCTGCGCGCCGCCGTTTTCACGCTATCTCCGAAAAACCTTAGGGGGGGGTCGCATCGACCCCCCCCCTGCCAGGGCGAGGGTTAAAAATGATGACGTCAAATTTTTGAACTCGATTTTTAGCGATTCTAGACCACATACCTACGGCAAAATAAAGACCATCATTGAACTCCCCGTGACGAGCCTCATCGATTCGATACCCATTTTATGCAAAAATATCAGCTTTGAAATTTGACCTAATTTGACCTGACCTTGACCTGACCTTGACCTTACCTTGACCTTACCTTGACCTGACCTTGACCAAAACGTGACCTAAGCTGGCCCCAAAGGCTGCCTGACCCACATAATCGCATTTGTCATGTAAAATGAACCATAAAACATGTATCACACGACACTTTCATATTGTGACCCCCCAGTGACCTGACCTCTGTGACCTGACCTGGTATCAGTGACCTCAAATAGCAAAATATGTGTTTGAAGAACATTTCCCCATCGATGATTTTCAATGAAATGCATTTTACTCGATTTTACAACGCATTTCTTGAAATGCCTGTAAACGGTGAAAATTGGACCTTTGACCTGACCTGTGACGTCATCAGCTTGACCTAGGTCAATAAAATTGGGTCACAAGGTAGTTCCCTGATAGGGCTATCTAACACCGTTTGCCGCTTGTCGCTAGGTTGCGTGGTTCTCGAGATCTTAGGGGGGGGGGGGCAAAATGCCCCCCAACAGGGCGCGTTGCTCGGCAGAGCCCAACGGGGCGCGGGTTAAAAAGTGTGCCCCCCCAGTCTGAAAGTAGTTCCCGCGCCACTGGTTATCCAAATGATTCGTATAACCCACACCCCGTGGCCCGTGGGCCGTAGGGCTATCGCCGGACAATGCCACCCGTAGGGGGGGGGGGCTGTTTTGCCCCTGAACCCTCGCTAGTCCTATAGGTCCGGCGAG